TGATTTAAAGTGACAAAATGAAAGTGAAATATTGCATTTTCTTCTAGTATGAGACTGAAAAGATGACAATGATACAGTGAATAGAGTCTGGCTCACTGGAGGTTAGCCTTAAAGTTAGCAAGAAAAATGCTGGCCAAAATATAATTTGTAGTAAGAAAGGAAAATTTGTAGTCAGTCTGCACTAAAGCTGTTGAACAGTAATGGTTCCACACTCACTGGCCAAAATATTGGGAACTTTCAATAAATTGAATAGGTACTCAGTGGTGGGTCATTGAAGCTCAAGGATCATGAAACCTATAACCTTCATCACCTTCCCAGGTAACAGCATCTCCCAGATCTCCATTCTATTTACAAATGGAGAAACCAGTGGATGATCCTGCAACATGAATATGAATTATGAAACTGAGGTGCAAAGATTTCATCAGGTTTTGTTATACAGTATACTGAATGAATGTAAAAGGCCGACATCAAAAGGGTTTGCAGTTAGAGCCAATCTTCCATTAGAAGTAGATACGTCTAATTAGTTGTAAACAGCACCATTAAAGGTAGATTATTAGTAAAGGAACTTGAATTACACATTCACTCATGGGTTCAAAAAAGGGTTTGTTTTTATATGCAAAGTATATAATGGGTGTGCATAGTAGTAGTTAATGGTTAGGGTTTTATATAGCATTTTCTTGTGGTTTGTCATTGATGCATTTTTAAATTAAAGTCTCAACACTGTCTCAACACTGTCTTCAGCAGATGAAACAAATTCAAAAGGGAAAACAAGAACTTTTGATATGCTAAATTAATTTTAGAATTTATAGAGAATTATAGAGGGAGAGAAATCGCAAATTTATTTATTTTTTGTTATTCATTGACAGTGCATTTCTGATTAAATTTTCTTTGAGATGATCTATTAGAAAACCAGAATTGTGGAGGAAGGTGGCACATAAATATAAAAAAAAATAAGGGGAAGTCATTCATTCCATCTAGCCATCTAGCATGGTTGAATGCTAGTAATTGATTTCACGCAGCTGTTTCTTGAAAGGATATCAGATTCTTTCTATGGCAGGGGAGTGCTTTTCAATTTTAAATGCACTTCATCATATGTTTCTGTTTGTGTCTTCTGCTTCATTTTCACTGCTGATGCTGAAGTCCCTTGGATTTAACTTTGTCAGTACCCTTGAGGTCATAAACAATAAAAAGGGCAATAATGCATTGGAACAACAATACATGAACAAATCTAATGAATGCATTGGGTTGCCAACTTTCAAATGTATTTATACCAAAAAAAACAGATGTCACTTGTCGTGGCAAACCAATCACACAAGCAGGAGGACTAACTCTTAATAGCTTCTTGTCTCTGCAGCAAAAGACAAAGGTGCTGTGCACTGAAACTCTAGTTTGTAGCTGCAGCAAGCTGACTGCTGGTTGTACTGTACATCACTGCCTCATCCTTTTTAATCTGATTACTTCATTTATCTTACCAGTTGATTTTTTGGATTTGATATGTGTTTTGCTAAGTTAACAGTTAGCATTTCTGCCAGAGGGATACCTATATAAAAAATGCATACGTCTCAGGTTTAATCAAGGCATAGCCTAACATATTTCTAAAAAGAGGCAGAGAGAACAAAAGCAAACATGGAACTATAGCTAGAGACTAATTAATTCACTAGTGAACATTTGCAGTTGAATGGAATAAAACACCAATATAGTACCCATAACTAGAAGAAAAAGGGCAATCTTAGATCACTTGACTATTAGTCTTACATTTTCTTCAGGTAAATTAAAGGAATTACAATTATGTTCATAATTGGAGAATATCTTGTTTAGTAGTGACTTTAACTGGGGACCTCCAGAAAGAGCCTGGACTGGTCTGCAGGAAAATTGCACCCAGTGGAACATGAAAGATAGGCTGAAAGGGAACCTCTCATTTTTCCTATAATCTTAAGTTTAACCTTTTTTATGGAAGCAAGAAACTGAATGTGATTTGGAAAAAGCTAAAAACATTATCTGTGTTTGAGCGTAATGTACATTCTTCTCTGGCTTTTAGAAATCAAGTGAGCTGCCTTTTGCAAGGGTGGTAGTGGTGAAAGCTGTTCACTGGGAATTACATCTTTAATTTAGCCGTGAGTCACACAAAGTATACTCCATTACAACATTGTATCAATGCGCCTTGACAGGAAATGGAATACGACTTGTTAATAATGCCACAGTGGTGCACGTTACTGCCTCAATCTTTCTTTCCATTACTATAAAAAAGAATGTTGTATATTGTGTAGTGCAATACCCCATTAGGGTTACAGTGTTCTTTGGCAAGGTATACATGAATTTGTAGTTAACACAGCGCATTGCTCATTTGATTAAAATGCCTAGTCCTTTTCCCAATTAGGAATCCAGAATGAAAGCTTTTAACAACTTATCTCCGAAAGATCAACCTGCATATTCTTTGCCTGTCAGCAGGAAACACATACAGGTAGCAAGTTCTGTCCGTTCATGATTTCACATAACGTCTATACGGAACTTGTAACATTCTGTTTTGTGAATGCTGAGTGCTGGCAAAGTGCCAGATAAGGAGGTGTTTTTCTGTTAGACCAGCATAAGAACGGAAAGGACTGAGTCGACAGTTAGCAAGTCATATGATGTACGTGCTAATACTTTGTTTGTTACACTGTATAAAAAGACTAACTTTATAACCGTTCGGAGAGACTGGCTGAGGAAAGCTACTCTCCCACATGAACGCGTAATAAGCGACTCTTCTTTTACCAACATCAGGACATTTTATATGACACTACACCAATAATAACTGTATCTTTTTTATATACAGTAAGTGGCACATTTTTTTATGCTCACTGTACATAGCCTATATACTACAACCAGCTTTCATGTGGGTTTCATCCAGGTGCAAAAACGTACTGGTAGGTTAATTAGCTCTGGTGTGAGTGTGTGCCTTGCAAAGGAATGGCATCTTGTCCAGGATACCTTGCCTTCTGCCATTTGCTTGCCGGGATAGGCTCCAGCACCACCACAACCCTGAATTGGAAGAGGCAGTTAGAAAATGGAGG